GCTGTTCCCAGCACATCTTATGAGATATGGTGTGGCAAAACACCATCGTACAAGTATTTAAAAGTATGGGGTTGTACTGCTTATGTGAAGCAGTTAGTGGGAGGTAAGTTGGATATGAGATCCATCTTATGTAAATTTGTGGGGTATCCAAAAGAGTCTATTGGATACTATTTCTATGACCCCTCTGAACAAAATGTGTTTGTTTCGAGGAATGCTATATTCTTGGAGGAAGAGTTTCTCTCAAAGAATAGTGGAGTCATAGAACTTAATGAAGAACCACAAGAAATTCCATAAAGTACCACAAATAACATACCAGTAGAGATTGGACCATCTGAAACACAACCTCTTCGGATATCCGAAAGGGTTTCTAGGGCGCCTGAGAGGCTATACCTATTGTTAGAGAACAATAAAGAGGGACTCCTTTTGGATAATGATCCAATAAGCTATGATGAGGCAATGTTGGACATTGACTCAGATAAATGGCAAGAAGCTATGCAATCAGAAATAGACTCCATGTATTCAAACAAGGTATGGACCTTGGTTGATCCACCACAGGGTATCGTACCCATAGGTTGTAAATGGGTTTACAAGCGAAAACGTGGTGTAGATGGAGAAGTGAATACTTTTAAAGCAAGACTGGTTGCTAAAGGTTATACTTGAAAACAAGGAGTTGATTATGAGGAAACTTTTTCACCAGTAGCAATGCTTAAATCTATTCGGATATTGCTAGCCATAGCTGCGTATTATGACTACGAGATATGGAAAATGGATGTGAAAAATGCTTTTCTTAATGGAAATATTAAGGAAGACATTTATATGAAACAGTCGCAGGGTTTCATATCCAGTGGGAGCGAACAAATAGTTTGTAAGCTTCAAAGGTCCATTTATAGACTTAAACAAGCTTCGAGGAGTTGGAACATCCAGTTTGATGAAACGATCAAAACGTTTGATTTTCATAAGAATCCGGATGAACCATGTGTTTATAAGAAGGTTAGTGGGAATGCAGTTGCATTTGTTGTTCTCTATGTTGATGACATCCTAATCATTGGGAATGATGTAGGGATGTTGCAGTCAACAAGGACATGGTTGTCAAAACAGTTTTCCATGAAAGATTTGGGAGAAGCATCCTTTATCCTCGGGATAAAAATCTATAGAGATGGATTTAAAAGAATGATCGGACTATCCCAGTCTACGTACATAAATAAGGTGCTAAAACGGTTTAGCATGGAAGAATCCAAACGTGGATATATTCCAATGAGTCATGGGATTTCACTTTCTAAGACAATATGTCCAAAGACACCCGAAGAAAGAGAACGGATGAGTCATATACCTTATGCATCAGCTATTGGTAGCATTATGTATGCGATGTTATGTACAAGACCTGATGTGGCTCATGCACTTAGTGTAACGAGAAGATATAAGTCTAATCCAGGTGAAGAACACTGGAAAGCCGTTAAGATGATTCTTAAGTACTTACGAAGGACTAAGGATATCTTTATGGTATACGGAAATGGAGAATTGAAACTAGAAGTCTTTACTGATTCTGGTTTTCAGTCTGATAAAGACGACTATAAATCCATGTCTGGATACTTACTCACTCTGAATGCAGCAGCAGTTAGTTGGAAAAGTTCCAAACAAGAAACGATTGCTTACTCTACATAGAGGCTGAATATATTGCTGCATCTGATGCTGCAAAGGAAGCTGTTTGGATAAGGAACTTCATCCAAGGGTTGGGTGTAGTACCATCTGTTGTTGATCCAATAATGATTTATTGTGATAACAATGGGGCTATTGCAAAAGCAAATGAGCCAAGATCTCATCAAAGATCCAAACACATTATGAGACGATACCATTTGATTAGAGAAATCATTGGTAGAGGTGACGTCGTGATGGAGCGAGTCGACTCAGCAGAAAATATAGCAGACCCCTTAACTAAACCTTTATCACAGAAAGTGTTCGAAGGACATCTTAAGAAGATGGGTCTAAGATACATGAGTGATTGGAACTAGGGCAAGTGGGAGATTGTTAGAGTAGGATACTCGGCGTTCCAATCGGATTGGACGTATTCTACTTGTAAATACAATCTATTGGAATTATATTAACTAAAAGACATTACTTTATTTTAAGAGTAAGCATTTATCCTATATTTGCACTTAAGATAAAATCCCTAGATCACATATAGTTATAAGGTATGGTTGCGCATAGAGATGGTGATCATGGAACATACCATGAAAAGCTGTGATCTTAAATGCGGTTCCAAGTCGTTGGATGTTTCGAGATGGGATATCAAATAAATTCGGAAAAGACTTGCACATAGTATGTATGCTTGTTGGACAAGAATGTTGCATTCCATCAAAATTAGCGTGGGACGCAAATACATATATGTGGGTGCTTGTTAGAGAACAAGTTCACTGACATGACCGTATGAAAATTCTTAATGAAAGATTTTTATGTCGAATAAGAATTTTCATGTTACAATAGTACATGATTAATCCTTAGACTTGAGGCACGATGGTAACTTTGTG